ATAACCTCAATATCCAACACCCACAAAAGTTTTGAGTTTGAGTTTAAGCATTGACGGTGATGCATTAGAGAACATAATCAATGACCTAACATGGGATAAGCTCATGTTAACTGAGAAGCTTGGATTGATACACATCGAATTGCACCTCGCTGCAAAAATGTGTGAAGATCCACAACTAATTCTCCTCTATGGATTTTCAGATGACAAATTGAAGCATAATATCATGAAACTGACAAGTTTTCACCTTCCCATTAAAACTGATCTCAATCGGTGTTGGATCATCGTCAAAGTATGAATCTGCTACTGCAACACTCTCCATCGTCATGCCGCGATGCTCTGCAACAAACCCTTTTGATATCCAAAGTCTCTGCATCCTCTTCCGGCTGATCAACTAATCCCATTTCCTCATAGTAAGGCAAAGATTTGTAACTAAGGCCTAGTGTCCAAGTCATTCCTAAAGTGTGGGATTAATCTCTAGCTCGAAGCCCAGATGATGTGAAAGGTTCTGCCATTCAATAGGACTTGTCTTATTAGGTTTGCTAGTAAGTAAACCTCTTATGGTTGCAATGGCTACGCAGAGTCTGCCTCATTTCTTCAAGAATTGCTCAAAGTGATGTTCAGGATGCATAGGAAGAAAATGGATAGGAACAAATACTTTCCTGCAGAGCAGATCCTTGGACTTCCTCATAGAAGAGAGGCTTGAGTTTGTAGACATGTTTATGATTGAGTGAGGAACCAGTGTAGGCCACATTTTCCATCCTTGTGGTGACTATAACATTGCTACTATTGTTGCAATCCAGTAATAATACAAGATTATGCTCTCCCACGCTTCAATTGTCCAAACAACAAATATGTACCTCATATCCTTGAGATGGTCTTTGATCTTCTCGCCAAGTTCTAGCCCATCCATTTTCTCTTGCTGCAACTGAGACTTCGTGAACAATTTTTTGAACATTTTGCTGAGAAGCTTCTTATTGTTGATGGATTAAGAAATAGCAATCCAAATGTTTCAGTTCATTTGTCCATTGTTAATCATCAAAGATTTAGTAGACCTTGGTGAAAGCGATCTTGCCTAAGCCACCACAACCAACAATAGAAATCACATCTAATTGAGGTTCATTCTCCTCCAATAGCCACCCAATGAGCTCACCTCGAGGCTTCTCAATGCCCTCAAGCTTAGATTCTTCGATGAAAGAAAGCACTTTGTCGAGGATCATGATCTTGTTGTCCATGGCTCCTACTAGTGGTATTTATTATTGGATTATGCGTGGATGTAAATCTATATTGTCAAGCTCTCTCGCTAGCGTCCTTTGCTTGGATTTTGATCCTTTGGATCTATTTGGCAATCCAACGACTCTTTGCCTATTTTTCACTGATATGGCACCAACTCATGAGGGATGTTGCAAGCAGCTTGTCAAGATGAAGCTTGAACTCATCAATGCAATCTTTTGTGTTGTAGGCGAGCTCCCTCACCGTCTTCGTCCCACTCCCTCTTAATCTAGCTTCTCTCTTGGCTCTCTTCCTCTTCCGCAACATCCTCTTCTAAACATCTTTGATGCACTGCGGCTCTTCTCTCGCCCCACCAATCAACTTTGCTTCTTCAATTATCAAATCCCCAAGCTTCTCGACAATTTAAGTTCACCATAGCATCTGCCATCTCCCTATTCTTTTCTCTCTCTCTCTCTCTCTCTTTTGCACTTCCTTGAGCAGAGAATTAATCAAATGATGCTTGGTTCTTCCTGTTTCATTGTATGGAGGAGAATACATGAAATGAATAACTTATCAATTCATGTTGTAGGATCCATTGAGTACAACTCATTGTTTGGCTTGATGCAATGCCAAAAGTGCTAGCAATAGCTACACTTAACTCCTAGGACTTACTTTATAAACTGTTTAGAACTCTATTTATTTTCTCTTATCACATATCACCCCCACCTTAATTACATGACAGTAGGTGATATGGACTCTACTGGTGGCTACTATGGGTTCTAGAGATAGCTCATACCATTCTCATGCACAATAGCACTTAGTCCCGCATAGCAAATAGCTCCGCATTTTCGATCGACTAGCTAATTGTTCTGATACCATTTTTCAAACACCAGACCCACTAGCCCATTGGCGTGATACATGCCTTGTGACCTACTGAGTGCAACATGTTGTTTGGCTCAATCCACTACCAAAATAGTTAACCATATTACACTTGACTCCCATGGGTTACACTATAAATCCTACAGTGTCTCATTCACCCACCAATGTGGGACTATTGTTTGGCCCAGCCCATATCCACTCCCATCAGGCAAGCCGAGGCTGGTCTGGCCGCTCTAAGACGCCTAATATTGCAAAGAATAGCTATACGGTTTGCCTAACAACCATTATCTGCTATTAAGTACGCAGTTCTTGCCTGGACGATAAATATCATTCATAAGCAAAGACGAGTCAGTATTCTAAAAGCACCATAAAATCCAGCTCGCTTATCTCTGGGACAGAATATGTAGACCATGCAGGCAAGTAAGAATCTCTTTCCCAAATTTTCAAAAGAAATATACAGGTTTTGTTCTGCAACAACGATAAAGAACAATAACAGTATAGGGGTCCTGAAACACATCCAATATTCGTCACTGTTTCTCATGAATATCACATCAGAAGAAAACAGTAAAGAAACATACTTACAAAAAGACGACGTCTGCAGAGTTCTTTCGAAGTGTCTCACAGTTTTAGATGCTTCTTAAATGGTCCTCAAGCAAAACTAGGAGGAAAGAAAAGGTAACATCGTGTAACCTCACAAAAGCACATGATCAAAAACTGCACACATGCTAAGTGCCCCGCAGTAGTAAACTCCAAAATGAAATTGAGTCACAGATTCTGATCAAGATAAGGATCTCGTGGAGATCTATCGCCAACACCAAGATATTCAGAAACTCCAGAAACTAACCCACCCAACAACGAGGTGCTGCGTGTAAGCCAACCAACCTTTGTTGGTGACTGTTCTTGAAGCTTGATCTTCCTTTGTTCTTCTAATAACATGTCGAGCCATCTTTTCACCATGTACTCCTTCACTGCCTCAACCCCTTGGTTTGCCACCTCCAATGGTGGCAAAGATAGCGGGTTCTGATCCAAGTTGAGCTTTGTAAGTCTCTCAAGACGGCCAAATGTATCAGGCAAAGCATGGATCTGATTGTTGCTGAGATCAAGTTCCCTAAGGTTAATTAGGTCGCCAAATGTAGGGGGAAGCTCCTGCAGGTCACTGAAGTTGCTACTCAAATTTAGATACTCGAGATTTGACAGTTTTCCTATAGCATAGGGTACACCTCGTAGTTCATTAAAGTGTGCATCCAAATGCTTTAAAGATTTCATCTCGCAAACAGATGTAGGAAGAGATCGAAGCTTATTAAGTTGGACGCACAGCTTTTGCAGATTCACTAATTCATGCCCAATACTCGTTGGCAGAAAGGTGAGCTCATTGTAACTCACATCTAGCTCCACTAGGGATCTGGATTTTTAAGAACGTCTACATGTAAGGAGTCTGCTGATAAAAAAGATTCAGCTTAAGTTTAGAATAAGTATGAGAAAGCCAGGAGATAATCAGTACCTGCACTTAGAGATGCTATCAGGCAATGCCTTGAGCTTGTTACTAGATACATTGAGGATCTTCAGATTAAGCAGAAATCCAATAGAATCAGGCAATGAGACTAAAAGGTTGGAAGAAACTCGAAGCTCCTCTAAATGTTCCAGCCCTGCTATAGAATCTGGAATGACCTGTAAAGCAATTAGAAAAAGATTTTAGGGAAGCCTGAGGTATTGGATATGAACATGGACATACACTCAGTCCAACTTTTTAAGGCTAATTATCGCAAATGATTCTAATTCTGATCATTAACATTACAGAACATTTAGGAACATGAATACAAAAGTAAATGCTATTTTACACTACTGGAAGTGTAGAACTGTTTATTACTACATAGAATAAGGAAATGTTATCATTTCATAATTAGAATATTTTAGAAACAACAGTGACCTATTACATTTCTTAAAAACGCATAGCAGACTTGTCATTGGTATCCACCAATGCTACCAGTAGGACCATTGAAACAAAAATCTCACAGTAAACCATAAATTGAAGAGTTCAATAGACCTTGTGCTTCTGGCACTTGCTGCTAACTACATTGAGAACAAATATTAAAGAAGCAGAATACCAGTCCGCCACCTTAGTTGCCAAATAAAACAGATGATCTTGACTTCAGAAGGTCAGTTGAGATATATATGTTTGGTTAGTTATAACTAGTGCTGTTGTCCGAACACTTGCATCATGCACTTGACAGACAGTGTTTGGTTTTTTGGCTTAGAACCTTCAGGTGGTGTTGCAGGTTGTAGGCAAAAGATTGCAGGTGTTGCTGAGGCCAAGTTGCATGCAACACCATTTACAGGCCTATAACACTGCCAAAAAAACTACAGAAATGATTCGGTTGACTTCTCCAAATAATTTGCATATAAAATGTAGATAGTTCATAAAAACTCTGTTTCGTGTAATTAAGAGATTATTTAGTACTCAATTTACTAGCCATTATATTTAGGACCAGGAATATCCTCGATGGGGAAAAATAGAGACAACAACACGGTATTTCATGCAAGTGCGATCTGGAATTTTGCCACTGGTAACAGAATGAAGTACCAAGTCACATTTTGTACAGGAGACTTCAACGCTGAAATTTGTTAGTTGCACATTGGAACTAAGGGTGTGTCCGGCAACTCCTCCGCTGAAGGTCTTAGCCAGTTAACACAGCCTAACACTACTCTTTACTCTCTCAAAATGCAATGCAACCTTTTCAAACATGCACCCAAATTTATGATTCATTTTAAATTTGGGACAATCCTTTTTACACATGTGACGTTTTATTTTATTTTTCAATTTCATGTGAAAGGAAGTATCTTTTCTGAAATCAAATTAAGTAATGTTTTTAAAATACAAGAAACTAGAAATCATTTTAATATAATGTTGAATTGAGAAGAAGATATAGACTCGAGACTTATTGCTACACAAAGGCGTTCATGCGTATGCAATGTTTTGAAGCTTATCATATCAAAACGTATACCTTATTCATATTTCTTTAAATAACTCAGAGAATAATTTCTTTGTCAGTATGCCCTTGCCAACTGTATATATATAGCTATTTGCTCATTACCATGTTAGCATGGATGTGTGTGTATGCATGCACATATATATGATAAGACTGTTGTTGGTTTCCATATTAGCATGGATGTATTACTTGTTACATGTTAAGATGGATGTTTATGCATGTATGTTTGTGGATATCTACCTATGTCCATGATTGTATGTAGCGTTTGTTACAGAATGGGGAAGGGGAAGGACACTTGGGTGATTTTAAAAAGTACAATTGTCCAACAATATAACTTTTTAAATTATGCAAGACAGATGCAATGAATCATGGATCCAAAATTTATCCACTTTGGCATCTCCCTTAAACAGCAGAATGATTCAAAAGCACCCAAGACTATGTGCCTTGGTAGAAGGGCCTAATTATATACTTCATTTTGTAAAAGATATAAGAAATATTCCTCATCATATACAATAAGTTGGAGTTTTGGTGGAGTGGAAAAAAGTTCAAGGGTGTTAAATTGAAAAAGGTAGAGTTAACATGCCTTGCACCACCAAACACATGCATGCATGTACCTATCATCCATCTATCATTAGATACATAATACATATCAATGAAACAAAAAAAATACACATATATAGATAAATCTGAATATGTGCCATGCAATACATGCATCTCTTATTTGATATTTTGCACTAGCTAAAAAATATCTACTCCCTCTGCATCTCTTCCTCTCTCATGTGTTGACTAAGGTTTCTAGTAAAATAACGATGTAAGGGAGGAGCATGGAGGGAAAATAAGGGCCATAGGATACAAGCTGGAACGCTGAAGTAGAGAAAAAGGGAGGATCAACATGGGATACTTGTACAAGACTCTCAATCTAGAACCAAGGTGTTAAACTTGGTCAAAGCATCCAAGGTGGCACACGCAAGTCAGCAAAACCGTGAAAGCATCTAGGGTCACACAGGCAAGTAGAGATGAATCCCGTTAAGTGAAGTAAAAGAAGCTTCTATCAGCAAATTAATAGAAAGTTCTCAAGTTCATACCACAGCATCAGAAGGTTTAAGAGGGAAGAAGAGGTATTCACGTGGATCACTTCCTCAAAAGGAGCTAACTTCTAAAGATATCAATTGAAGATGACTGCTTAGTGCTTCCATTTAAGCCTGTGCACAGAGTTAGAAAGGCAAAATGGCCAATGCAAAGGACACGGAAAACTTTAATACTATTCTCCAAAAAAATGATGGGCAGGTCTCATAGTAACCCATGACTATGTTAAAACTAAAAGGAAAAAAGATTTGATTGTATTGAATTCGCGAGGACCAAGTCGTGGTCCACCAACAAAAAAAATTGTTCTCATATAAGACATGGAAAAAGTAGTGGTCCGCCAACAGAAAAATGTTCTCATATATGACGGTTGGGGTTGTTTGTATAGAATGGTGTCAGGATTAGAAGTGTTTTATGTATAGAAGGTGTTGGTAACTGAATGCCTTGGCATAAAACGATGTCAAGTTGTAATATACTCACAACAATTTTCTGATGGTGAGAAGGTTGTTACAAACTCGAAACAGCTCAAAAGTGATGAAGTCAACAATGACAACGCCTATGGTAACGAGTATATACACTGGAATCAAATTTTGGACAGTTATAAGGCTAGTATAGAATTAGAATTGAACTTCGACCACTGAGAAAAATATCAGAGAAAAAGTGTAGGTAGGTGTGGTTATCAAAATGTGATAAAGAGGTTGACAACGGAGAAGTATAGTGTCTTCAAGAGAGTATGAAAATGTTATGTTGTGATGAATGCAAATGACATATATGTACAAGAAATTCAATTGGATTGTTGATAAGTCAACAACTAAGTAAATTAAAAGATGACACCTTGATTGTTTGCCTTGAAAATTATAAACACTATTAACTGCGCAAGTTTCAAAATTACAAATTTAAATATTTCTTGTGCATGAGTCATGACAATTCATAATTACAAATCTAATTGTCTTCATATGTAATTATAGTATCTAACTTACATATTACTTTAGAACTAAAACCTCACTTATACTTGATGAACCTCCTGGAAGCCTGACTAAAAGATGAAATGCATAGCTATTGCTATAGAAGACATGTACACCTTCGGGTGCTATATTAGGCTACGAGCCATTTACATTAAACTTTTTCTTAATTAAAAATAAAATATGAGACTTACATGGGACATGTATTGCAACTATTGTCTCTGACTTGATCTCTTTCAACTGCTTGACACTACTATATTGCCCTTGTCATTGGTGAATGGTGGAACACCGTTGTATTATGTTTACAACTCCCGCGAGAGAATATGAGGGAATGAGTGAGGGATAGTTGCCCTAACCCTATTATACAAAGCAGGTTGGCTCAAAACAACATTAAACCATTCTTCCACCCCCACCCCACGCCCAAGGCATTGAAAACATCAGTAAGGTGGGACAAGGTAGAGACATAATTGCTAGGGCAGAGAAGTCATAGTGAGCAAATAAGAAGCAATTTGGATAAATACACACACACACACACACAAGTGTGTGTGTGTATATATACATATATATTTATATATGTATATATATGTGTGTATATATGTGTGTTTGTATACATATAGTACATATATACACATATATATGTACATATATATGTACATACACACACACATATATATACATTATATATATATAGTAAGACTCCTATTAACTTAAGTGGATAGAAGCACTTGTCCACCAAACTTTTTATCCCTTCATTATGCTTTGAGATTTGTGCTATACATCAATGCTATCTTTGAAATTTGTGCCTTCATTTGTATTATATGCTAGCACAAATCTCAATGCAAAATCAATGGATAAAAAAGTTTGTGGACAAAGGGCTCCCATCCACTTAAGTTTATAGGAGTTTTACTCTCTGTCTCTCTACACACACACACACACACAAGTAACGACAAAGAGATCTTAGAGGAACTGTCACATATAAAATTGAGCACAATTTTGCAAAGAAATACACCATATGTTTCTCGAGAAAAGATGGGAAACATGCTCAATATCATTTAATTGAATACTTTTTTCTCAACTCCTTGTTGTTTGAAGAAACCCTCCCCTTCAATTGGCCATTTTTCACGAAAAGCAAACATGATATAACAAAGCAAATCTTACCCTAAGATTTCGAATAGCGGTCTACCCTAGAGATGTTACTTGTAGTAGAACAGAGTAGTGAATGTGCAAATTAAGTTCATTCTCTTGATTGAGAGAAAGCGCCTTATGAACGTGCATAGCCTCAATCATGATGCCCCTCCTATGTTGGTGGATAGACTGCTTTCAAAAAATTGCATGGCATGAATTATAAATAGGGTCAAAAACATTGAACATAGAATAAAGGTGGTCCATTCTCAAAAATAGGAAACTTATGAAGTATCAATTATCCTTTTTAGGTTCTTGAACAGTTGCAGATTTTTGACAAGACATGGTTGCTCGAGTTTCGCTTCATTTAAGTTTGCACGACTCTTTTACTTTTGGTAGTGTATAGAATGCTCCGTCCATTTCTCTGTGGCAGATCTTTTGAATTATGAACTTATAAGAGGTAGGTCTTTTGAATGATGTACTTATACATGATAGGTCTTTTGAATGTGTATAGAATGCTACATCCATTACTATGTAGTAGGTCGTTCGTATTCGAGAATTGTTGTAGCCAATCTTGCATAGAGGAGTTGATTTAACACATGTATATGTGACATGTCTGTGTCTTGTGGCATGTTAAAGAGTCATTGCGGTTAAGATACAAAACACACACACTTGTGCCTATGTCATTTTGTCCCTTGGTGTGGTACATGCTTATACTGATATGTCATGCACTTGTTCCATGGAAGAGTGTCTTTGCTTGTATCGGGCTTGATGCTGATCTTAATGTTGTTCTTTCCCATATACGAAACTTTTGTGGTTGTTAGTATCGTGTCATATTGCCCATGTAGGCTAAACACATATTCTTCACCCATAATTCAAGATTGCACTTTGTTCATGCAGATCTGCGTCCTGTTAGTTATCACGAAATGCGTCTATAAGGAGGGCTGACTAGAAGTTTGATTGACTGTTCGCGCACTTAGTGCTTGACGTGAGTTACGCGATATCCACCAGCAAGATTCTTTGTGTTGGACAAGTACACACGGCCATAGAAGATGGTATCCAACTATAGGCACAGTTTATACGCTACTAATTAAGTTCATCGTCAGAGTTAAACCAACTCCTATAACAGATCAGATCAAAATAAGCAGATAACTTCATGGGATTAATTAAAAGAAAAAGAGTCATCTCCTATAATCAGGTACCTGCAGCTGATTGTTAGAGAGCTCAAGAGAGATGAGCCCTCTGATCCTCCCAAACTCCTCCGGCAAGAACCTCAGATTCCGGGCCGACAGCTCCACCTTCTCCACTCTCTCCTGTTGCAAGATCCCAATCACCTCTTCGTTCACATTATCATCCTCCACCAGTTCCTTACCCTCATCTTTCTCTTTATCTTCCTCATCTTGATTCAATCTATGCCCTTCGTAAATCTTAACCAGCTTCTCCTCAGCTACCTTCAGCTGGTTATTATACGCCTCGTGCATCTCCTCCAGCTCGATAATCGCCTTGAACGGCGCCTTCACCTTCTCGGCCTTCTCTCGGCACTCTTTCTCCTGATCAGCCATGACGGACCTCCAGGTAATCACGTCGACTCCTTCGGGCCGAGGGGCGCGGACGATGTCCTCGAGGCTCCTGTAGAGGGCGGTGTCGATCTGAGAGAGGCGAGCGCGGGAAACGTCGACGGACTCGTGGTCGGGGCGATCGCCTAGGGTTTGAGGACGGAAGCGGGTCGGGCGACCGTCGCGACGCGAACTTCATGGCGGGCGAGGACAGTGGGATCGCGAGGTGGGGCATGGATTCGAGGAGGTCGACGGAGAACGAGGCGCTGTGGTTCTTGAGTCGCATCTGGATCTGAGGCATGCTTCGATGTCGGGTTCGGAATCGGATCGGATGAAGGAGACGGAGTTAAGGCGCGACATGACGTAGGAGAGGATCGGGAAGCGCGTAGGGTTTGGATCCATGACGGGGATTGGAGCTCTGGGGATTGATTGAGGAAACAGATGATGATAACGATGAGGATGATGATGATGGAGACAGTAGGAAGGACAGAGGGAAGTTTTGGAGCGTTTCTGCGGTTTTCTGCCTGAGATTTGCTCGGGAGATGCGGATTCCCTGGTCAGCGCGATGATGGGCCGGCCCGCTCTTCAAGGGCCCACCAATGAAATTGACACCTATTAAAAATGGGAAGAAAACCCCTCCGGTGGCGAATGATGGTGACTATATACCATAACATACTATCATGAGCGATGCCGGTAGATTGGGTAAAATCTGAGGTGGGCTTGCGCCGGACCAGTTCAGGCCTGTGACTTGGACCGCCGAGTTAAAGTCCAGCCAGGTCTAATACGGGTTCGCACGGGTCAAAAGTGAAATATCTGCCTACTTTCACTCTGAAATGGGTAAAAGCTATAGGGTTCTTACGGGTCTTTGATATTCTATCTTCATTTGCTGGTAGGTAAAGCACTTAGCCACATATTCTGCAATATCTCTACATATGCCGCTCCATCGAAAGTGTCTCTTTAGGTCCTTGTACATTTTAGTGTGTCTGGATGCACTGTGTACCTGGTATGATGCGCCTCATCAAATAAGTCTTTTTTCAACTGTGGATTACTTGGCATCACTAATCGGCCCTTCATTAGAAGTCATCCATCTGCTCCAACGGTCCAATCAGACTTTGGCTCTTTGGAAATCTCCTCCTTTCGGGTTTGAATCCAAGAGTCCTCTAGCTGAGCTCTGACCACCCTATCAGTCCAAGATAGTTGTGCGAACAAAGCTCATAAAAATGCTGTTCGTGGAAAAATTAAAGAAGAAAATTTAGAAGAAAATATGTATTTTTCTCTCTCACTGACTTAGAAAAAAAGAAATATAATTCTCTCAATGCAATCTCTCTCTAACAGACTTAGAAAAAAAAATTACAATCTTCTTGATTGGTATCCCGATTTACAAAAGAATAAAGGGATCAACGGAGACCCTCCCCTTTATTTAAAACTGGGTTCTTCTTGGTGTCGATGGGAGCTTGAATCTTATATCCCGTTGACGATCCGAACGCTTCGCCTCATGGAACTTGGTTGATTCTTCTTGATGGGAAGAACTTGCAATGCAAGTTTAAAACTCTCACGAGTTTAAGAACTCTAATTGAGTTTGAGAACTTGGTACGAGTTTAGAACTCTGAACGAGTTAAGAAACTCAGAACGAGTTTAGAACTCTGTAAAAGAGTTGATTTAATTCAACAGAAATTCAGTTCACAAGCCAAGAATGAAGAAAAGCTCTAAGAACAGCTCCTGAAGATGCTCCAAGCTTTCTGTTGCCGATCTCTAGATCCAAAAATGCTCAAGATCTAAAGATCTGAACTCAGTTGAGTTTTTCGCTATTTATAGGGGTTTTAGGGGTGTAACTAACCTCTAAAATCGCTCCTTAGTGGGGTTGTGATCCCCTCAAATCGCGAGAAACGGTTTTAGAACCGTTCAGCTTGTATTTGAACGAGTCAAACGCAAAATTTGTGTTATGGGCACGAATTCTGCGTTTTGAGTCCGGAACGTAGAGATGAGTTTTGTATTCTGGGTCTGGAACGCAAATATTAGTTTTGCGTTTTGAGTCTAGAATGCAGAGATGAGTTATGCGTTTTGAGTCTGAAACGCAGAGATGAGCTCTGCATTTTGGGTTCAAGAGACTGTTGATTTGTAGTCTCTCTAGTTAGAGCGTTGCAAAAATTGTAATCTTCATCTTGGCTCATTGGAATGTGAGAGTCATTAGTTGTAACTCCTGTTGATGATTGTGAAGGCTGTTGAATCAGAACTTCTATCGGTTGTTGTGAAGGTCTTTGAATTGTAACCTTCATTGATTATCGTGAAAGTCTCCAAATTGTAGCATTCTGAAAGTCGTTGAATTGTAACTTTCATTATCACTGCTTAATGAGAATTAGCTATCTACAGTAATTTTTAGACATCCTACAAAACCCCCTCCAAAATTTTCAAAAGTTCGTTGTTGACTGGAATAAATTTTCAGAATATTTGGATCCTAATTTTTATTTTGGATTGGTTGGGTGATTATTCATTACACCCACTTTGAAGGCATTGTGGACTTGATTGCAGACACTAATCATGCAAGATCAGTACGAAGGTGCCTATCGTGGCTCTGTTTTTGAAGTACGGAGACGGGCCTTGCTGCTTTGAAATGCGGAGATGAGTTTCGCATTTAGAATATGAGAGACGACGACATCAGTAAGAGCCATAAGCCTAATACTAGCAGGTGCTCCAACCTTGTATTTAGCGACTTTCTCGCTAACTTCCTTTAGATCTACCTTGGTAAAGATCAACCCAATATTTCTTAAGGGGGTGTTCTTCCTCGTGAGAATCGCTGAATCCTTACAGAATCTCTTTCTGATCAGCATCGACGATTAGAATTTGTCTGTACTCTGTAGGTGGTAAAAGTTACCTTTGTAGATATGCCTGAAATCCGCCTGCATATTCGAGTCGCCCGCACGACTTGAAAATTGGGCTCACCCGTGTGCTTGACTCGTCAGCACGAGCCAAGACCACGCGATCACCAAATTTGCCTACATCTGGGCAATCCGCCAAGCGATCAAAAACTCGCCTGCAAACTTGATTCGCCTGCGCGAGTTAAGTTTACTCAAGAGCTGAACTCGCCTGCGTGCCCAGACGATCAGCCAGGCGATCGGTAAACTCGCCAGACTCACCAGAGTACCTGGCGACCGCAATATTACGTACAGGGATGGGCCTTCCTATTTCCCACGATGTGAAGGGAAGGAGCACAGTACTCCGAGCCCATCAAGCGGCTGTCCATAGTACGAGCAACCAGTCGAATCCACGATGTCGCTACACTCGCCTGCATGCTTGACTCGCCCGCACGAGTTAGGTTTACTCAAGAGCTGAACTCACCTGCACAAATCAAGAGCCAAATTCACTCGTAATCAACAAACTCGCCAAACTCGCCAGAGCGCCTGGTGGCTGCTACATCACGTACAGTGACGGGCCTTCCTGTTTCCCACGACGTGAGGGAGAGAAGTACAGTGCTCTAAGCCCATCAAGCGACCGTTCATGGTACAAGTGAGAAGCATAGTATCTCCCAATAGTACATGGTCACATCCCATGATTCAAGGGAGCGACCATGCCATCTCTCCTCTATTTAAGGGCCTCCCCTGGCTACAGGAGAGAGGTTCGCAGTTAATTGATTAATTCAATCAGTTAGCTGGACCATTAGCTCTCAACTCTCGACTGAGTTGATGACAAGCTCTTTGCATTATCCTTGCACTGTAGCATCTTCTCCCAGCTTCGGGCCCTGACCGCCACTGAACTCGAAGACTCAAACTCGACCAGCACGAGCTTCTACTGCGTACTGAAGCTCACCAGCAACCTAGATCGAATCGTCCAAGGGAAGCAGATTCGGTGTGAGAACCGAGCGAGACGTCCTATCACTACCAAAGTCCCCACGATAAACAAGGAGGGCCTTCCCTCTGTTTTTGTTATAATTTCGATTAATAAGTTTGTAATAAGCTATTCTTATCAATACAAACGAAACCCCCATTTCGGGAGATCAAAATTTACACCTACAGAAGATCGTGACCACAATGGGAGAAGCTATTTCCTCGACCGAAATGATGGTAGCGCAGTTCGACGAGGTTGCTGTCAAGACAACCGTGGAGTCTCTAGAAATCGAGTTCGACCAAGCCAAGTACGAAGAGTACTTGTCTTCCTCCTCCTCTTGTGGCAATGCATCCCGCAAATGCCACAGAATTGTGCACAGAGGCCAACCTCAATTGGTCAAAGCCTCCGTGCCTGAAGACTCTATCCGAGTCACGCCAGTTGGTATCAGAGCTCTAGTTCCAGTATCCTTAGGATCATCCTGTGTCGAGTCGTGGAGCTAGGTTAGAGTTTCTTAGGATTCATGTGTAGAGTCCGCTAAGGATTTCCTAGTATGAGTGAGGACGATATATGCGTATATCTCAAAATTTCGAGAAATTTTTTTTAACGACTATTTTTGCTTTAAGTATATGTGTGATGTATTAAGCATGAATAGAATATACGTCAACTTTGACTCATAAACTTTATTTTTCTTATCACCAGAAAGAGGGAGATAGATGGCAGGAAGTGGTAGACCTCATACCAGGAGAGCTAGCCAGGCAGAGTCACAGCAGACTCCATCAGAGCAGCAGCCAGCTCAGTCCGAGCCTCAGCAGGCTCCACCCGAGCCACAGCAGGCTCCTCAGTATTTGGTGGACATCATGGCTCCTCTCATTGCCCGGATGACAGCCATTGAGGAGTTGGTGACGACTCATATAACACCATGGACACCACCACCACCGGTAGCTCAGCAGCAGGGGATATCTGCCGTTCCTATCAGAGAGAGACCCCCAGAGGTCACGCTTGCAGCCATTCCTCTAGCAGTCCCAGATAGAGCCACAGAGCAGGAGGCTTGGCTCCGTATGGTGGAGAGGTATCAGAAGATGAGGGCACCAGAGTTCCAGGGGTCACCAGACCCTCTTGCAGCCCATAAGTGGAAGGAGGATGTGAGCAATATTCTTGATATACTCGGTGTAGATTCAGTACAGAAGCAGAGGCTGGCATCCTACAGCCTGAAGGGAGATGCCGGGAGATGGTACCGACTTCAGTTTACCCCGGAGCAGAGGATGACCCTCACATGGGAGGATTTCATATACTTCTTTGATGGACAATACATTTCTTCTACAGCACGGACTAGGAAGGAGCTTGAGTTGTCCCGGTTAACTCAGGGGGACATGTCAGTGGCGGATTTCGAGAGCAGGTTCATGGAGTTGCTACATTTCACGGGCATGTGGCAGACGGGAGAGCGCCAGGCTCAGATGTTCTTAGCAAGGCTTCGCCCTAATCTCCGACGGTACCTCGTGTCGAGGAGGTTTTATTCAGTTAGGAAGGTAGCTGAGGCTGCCACTTCTCAGGAGATTGAGACTACTATGTTTCAGAAGGATAAGGAAGTGAAGGCTAAGATAGGACAGAGTGGGGATAAGAGCAAGAACAAGAGACCCTTTTCTGGACATCAGCAGCAGCATCAGGGCCCTTATAAAAGGGGACCCCAACAGGATCAGAGAGCGCATCAGCAGCGCAAGTTCCAGGGATCTTGTTTTAATTGTCACAAGGTCGGGTATAAGGCATCATAGTGTCG